TAGAAAACAATTCAATTTTTGAGTCGTGCCAAAATTTCCATTCTTTTTTTTAGTGCAAATAAAAAAAAATTCATCCAAATATTTCAATTGTTAATCAATTATAAATCACATTGGATTTATATATTTTGATATTTCAATGAAAATCCAGCGTTAAAAAAGACAAAATGATTCGCGGTGATCTTCTGTGCTGGGACTTAATCCTCGAGGTCAATTGAAGGCGTGAAAAGTTTTTCCGGGTTGCTATTGTAGTTATGGTGTCGCTGGTGTTGCTCGCACCGGAAAGGTGAAAGAAAAAATGAATTAAAGCGATAAAAAAGACAGCGATGAATAGGAGAGATTAAAAAAAACGTAAAATAAAAACTAATAAAAGAAAACTTTTCACCTTTATGTGAAAATCTTTTCAGCGTCCACTAACTTTTTAATCGCGTTATCTCGATTAATTAATCGCTGCTCTGGATCTCTTTCTCTGGCCTCATCCTCATCCTCAGCCTCTCGGTTATTTCTTCTCGAGGAGGATTTTCACGGCGATTTTTCCATTATGCACTTCCGTTTTCCGCTTTCTGAATCGATCAGGATAAGAAAGAGTTGCGGCATATTGTTACTCGCGGATATTAAATGAAAATTCCCATTTTGTTTCAGTGTTCGGAGCTTCTTCTCCACTTTCAACTCCTCGTTTGCCGACAACTTGTCGACACATTAATAAGATAACAACCTCTACTTGTATTCGTACTCATTCGGAGATCCCGAATCTTCTATTAATGCTTTACAATTATGTAATCTCTATTTTATTATCTGATAAGTGTATATTATTATCTCTCGTAGCTTAAGCGCATTCAGAGTCAGAAGTATACTCAGCAAACAGTTTAATAAATAATTTACTTCCCAATTAAATTTTCAGACTGTCACTCGCTATTAAATTTTGACGTTTTAATTAAAAAAAAAAAATAAAAAAGAAATTTATTCTTTTACACATGGAATATAGAAGAAAAAATTTTAATAAACAATTTTCCTAAAAATTTAATGTTTTATCGAACTTTTTCATCAATTTAAATGAATTTTTTATTATTTGGATTAAATATGAGTTCAAAAGTCACAAAAAAAAATTGTGAAGTAATATTTATTCAAAAATTACAAGACGAATTTTGAGTAAAAATTGCAAGTATGAAAAATTTATTAGAGAAAAAGTTTGTTGGAAATTAAATTTTTTATCAAAACTATTTTTATTAATTTTTTCTTATCTCTTAATACTCTCAATCCAAAATTTCAATTCAACGAAAAGAATCCGAAAATTTCGTACCAAATTTATATAAAATTTTTGGAGCGATTTCAAAAGACATATTGTGAATTTTAGTCCTTCAAAAATTTCATCTCAAGGTTAATTAAAAATTCATTAATTGTATTCTCAAGACTAAAAATCTCTTTCTCTTAAAAAAAATCCTTTGATATGCAAAGTAATGAATTATAAGTGAATGGAATTTTTCGTCCTCATAATAATAAAGCTTTGACCCAATTGCAGATATGAATGATCCATACCGGGTGATCAATGTCTAGTAGCATTTTAACTTGGGGGCTAAGAGATAAAAGTGTATAAGTGTAGCTTGTGTGCCAAGCCTGCGCTATGCATGCCCGCAATATACATACAGTATGCTTTACTCGACTCGGTAATAATAAGAAAAAAACCCAGTACACATAAAGGAAAAAAAGCTCATGATCTTCACCCCCTCCGCGCATTTCTCGTATACCGTCCAGTACGACTCGGTCTATTCGACTATCACCTTATCTCTTTGTTTGTTTCAATAAACAAATATTAATACCATTCCAATCATTATTATAAATATAACATACACACCTTTCGCTGGTGACTGTGCTCACTATCATACAATACAGTCTTGAAACCATCAGTTATTATATTTTTTGAGTGTTACTTTTATATTTTTCGTTGAGTTAAGTGATTTAACATAAAGTAAATTGTTATTTTAAATGACCGGTGAGTTCTTTAATAGTGAAGTATAATATCCAAACAGTGAAACCCAGCATTTGGCCTCAAAGGAAAAATCACTAAAATTTTATAGTTTATTTCAGTAAAAATATGAACATACCCTGATTATAAATTAACTTGATTCAAGAGAAAAATCTTTGAACCAAGAAAATCATTCTAAAAATTCCCATTGCCTTGAATCAAGAAGAAAAATGTTTGAATCAAGAAAAATTTGTTAGTTCAGGAGCTTTTCTGCTTCATTAAAGATGATGAAACTCTTTAAAATGATTTTCTTGGTTCAATAACTTCTCTTTTGAATCAAGAAAATGATTATGAATTTTCATCGTTTTGAATCTAGCAGAAAAGCAATTAAACTACATAGTAAGATAAAATTTTTAACTTTATAATAAATTTTATCAACTCAAAAAAATATTTGGAAAGAAAACATTTATCGTGTTTTAAGAAAATTTCTTCTTGCTTCAAATTTTCTTGATTCAAGTAAAAATTTTTTCTGTGTAAGAAATTCGTTTGCTTGATTCAAAATAATAAAATTCTTTCAAATGATTTTCTTGGTTCGAAAATTTTTTTTTAAATAAATTAAATTTTAATATCAATGTAGATATATTTTTTAAATTAATTAATCCGGTATGATTAAAATAGAAAAAAAGCTCACAAAATTCTCTATCGATCTGAATCTTATGTAAGATTGCAGATTTAATGATAATACATGATTGGTTTTTCACCAAAAATGAAAAAAAAATCATTTTTCACCATTTTCTCTCTTGTATACATATATCCAACCATCTATGTATCGTTTTGTCTAACGTTGGTCGTAGTGCATATAGTCATTGCAGCATCAGCTTGAATACTCTGATAGCCTATCCGCTCTGGTAATGTTGCCAAGAGGACGGCGGGGCGCCGACGACGTCGACGTCGTTTTGACGCTGTCGCGTTTTCGTTGCGTAAGTGAGTCTGGACGTCGGGTCGTCGCGGCGTCAGTTGATCGAGCGCCGCAAAACCCTTCGGAGTTAGTGAGATTATCGGAATAATTATTGCTCTGAGATTATTTATTGTTAAGTTAATATAAACAACTTACTTCTTTCTGGTCACATCATCAAGCATAAGTGAATTTAACAGTTCAGACATTCGGTTTATTTATCCAACATTTAGTGTTTGCTTCAAGCTTAGGGTATTTGAGTCTCAAGGTTACGGGGTCAATGGTAGGTCATCCTAATGCCGCTGCAGAGGCTGCTTTAAGTGTCCTTGACCTACTTAATCACTTGTATTGTTATTATATTCTAAGAGCATTTCGTGAGGGTTTTAATCTGGAACACGTGAATTTTATTATTCCAGTATCTAATATCACTTTCGTTATCGGCCTGGAATAGTTTTCTCAGGGTCAATGCCACATGTCACTGTCATTAGACGCCTGCGCCTTGGCCATCATGCAACACTCGATGCATCTCATTTCATCTTAACTTCTTTTACATCACAATCATTCCGCTATTATTATCGAGGAAATTACCGATAATTATTCATTATTACGTCATAAATATTGTTTCTAAGAAAAATTTATTTTTATTTTTATTTTAATCCAACAAAGGCGTAGAAATTTTTTATTGATATTTGAATCATTTTTTATCTCAAAGAGAAAATTTTTAGTAATTAAAGTATCTTCCGTATAATTGAATTTACAATTTTTTGTATTGATAAAATGAGATAAAAGCTGATAAATTTTATTTTTTAAAATATTTATAAACATGATCAATATTATAAAAGTTATTATCTAATATTATTATTGCTTATCAGAATCTACTCATTTAATTTATAATTTATAATTGAAAATTTTACTATCGATTTTATAATCTTGAAAAAGATATTTGTAATACGAATAATTGAGAGATGGTAACATAACAATTACCTTCAGAAAGTATAATCGTTATCATTTAAGATATAATGATAAAATTCAATTCTCTCTGTCTACGTCTTATACACACAAAATACAAATTTCTTGCGCCAAGAAAATTTTAAGGAAAACGAAAATTATTTTGGAGCAAGAAAAAATTTTCTTGGCTCAAGAAAATTTCCTTGACTCAAGAAACTTTAACTTCATTCAAGAAATTTTCAACCTTCCTTAATATTTTCTTGAGCCAAAAAAATTTACACTTCAGTCAAGAATTTTTTTTTTTCAGTGTACAAATTCAAAATTTACTAAAAGGAAGAAAAAATTCTGAAAAAATTTAGAGTCAGAATAAAGTAAGCATTCGAACTTAGATCTCCATGATTATATTACAGGTACTCTATCATTAAAGTTACACATACTCAAATAAAATGTGACTAGGTTAACCCCCAAAAGCTTGAAACGTACTTATCCCATAATAAAATTGAGATGAAATGTATGTGGCATCAAACTATTCGTAACGTGATTGGTTGAATATATCATAAGCATGAAAATATATGCAAACTCTATAGTCAAGACGCGCGCTTGCGCGCGAAAATTAAATTCTAGTCCACTCTTATAATTTAGATGAAAAATATGAAAATATACACAATAAGACAAACTATTCGTAACGTGATTGGTCAAATATATCATAAGTATGAAAATATAGATAATTCCACACCAACATTCACACGCGCGCTTGCGCGCGCAACGTATACTAGTCAATTTAGAAATCATATACTGTCATAAAATCTCTCAAATAAAAATTTATGAAAATTATTTTTAAAAATCTATATTGCATTGAAAATATAAAAATATTTTAATTATTTTCTTTAACAATTTCTGTAGATAACCAAGAATAATTATATACTATAAATAGAGTTGAGACTAGTACCGGATATGAATAAGTTCTGTACTAAGAACACTCGACACGATATCGAGAGACCGCAAGTTCAATTGCTCGTTTTAAGTAAACTATAGTTGAGGAAAAATCGTATATTAATTTCTTTCAAAACTGGTTGACTTAAAATTATTGAAAATTCGATGAAGATTATTAAAAATTACTGTAACTTAAAAACAAACATAAAAGCATAATGATGTCATTGAAAATTTTTATTTAAACGATTATCAGATTTTTACAGATGAATATTTCATTGTCAATGCAAGCAATTTTTTACACGCTAATAAAATATTTAACGAGAACTATTAATTGAAGTCACAGCTCTGAGATGATATTTATAAATACAAAATAAGTCTAATTAATCTCTCAGTAATCGTACTTTCTAGAAAATTTTAGTTATTGAAAAGAAAAAATTTTTCCACTGTTCACTTAGACTAAAGTTAAAATTCTTATGTTGAAATTAAAAACAGTGACATAAAATGACGAAACATCGTTTATATTTTTATTTATTTTTATCAACATCCTTATCGGTATATTTTAATTAAAATTTAATCATAAAGTAGATATCACATAATGATAATTCCATTCAGTAGAAAAATAAGCGGTGGCGTTTTCCAGTGACTGAGAGTATAAAATAACTTCCAGATCTAAATTAAATTTACATGTGTTCTAATCGTTTGCTCACATTTCATATAATTATCATCTATCATTAAAGTTTTGAGCTTACTGATAACAGGAAAAATATAGTTTAGATATCATTTCATAATAAATTATTTATTTATTTAGAGAGATGGGTGGTGGCATTGTTTTCATTACACAGCAAGCTATTACCGGAAAGGTATAAAAGATACGTTGATGATCAAGTATCTTCAGTGAACGTAACGCAAGCCGGGTGTGAGAGCACATTTGTCGTCTTGTTAAATTTAATTAAATTTTTTTGTTTTGTTCGAAGACAGAGGTATTACGGTCTCTTCACTTTAATCCTGCTTGGAGTTCATTGATTGATGATTTAATGCTCGACGATCAGGGGCAAGTGATTTTGAACCAATTACGGACGGAAATAACAGCTATTTACATAAGACAGTTTCTGTGATTATTATTATTATAAGAAACTAGTGATTGTTTATTTTGTAAATAGTTAACAACATAACTGTGATATAATCAACTAGGGTGATCGTGAATTGTTCCGCGGATTAGTTACAGTTGATAAAGTTACTAAGTAAAACGGCAGGACACTTATGAAGGGGTCCGTCGTTCCAACGAGATCCACTGCTGAGCTTATTAAGCATATTTGGGATATTGATTGGAAACAGTAGTTATAATAAGGTAAACTTTGCTTTAACAAATAGTTTGGTTTGTTAGTTGGAAATTTTAATTTATAGATATTTAGTGCATCAAATATTTATAGACAATGTTAGAGTTTTAGCAGTAATACAATGATGGGTTAACAGTACAAAAATAAAAGTTGTCTCATATTATTAATATTATTTTTAAATTAACATTTTAAAACAAATATGACTATCAAAAAGTCATTCCAATTTTTTTATTTAAACGTATGAGATATTTTTTGCAATTAAATATTTTTTTCAACAACAATATTACAAAATTAGACTTTCTAAAAAAAAAAAAAAAAACCTTTACTACTACGTCATTTCTATACTTATTTTATTGTTAGTTTAATATGAATTTTGCACTATTTTGTAAAATCTTCATCAAATTCATTATAGTTTACTTCTTTTCATTGCTTTAATTTTTGTCATATATTAAAGCTAAAAATATCCTAAGAGTATCTCCATTTTCATTTTGACTATAAAAAAAATTCATCCAATTTGATTCGCTATTTTTTTCCAAACATTTTTTTAGAAAAATTACACTAGGGTAAAAGACCCTATTAGTGGCGGGGACCCCATTACTGACACTTTCTTTGATTTTGGTACTTATTCAGGTCATTAAATCATTAATTTCAATAAAAAATATATTATTTCTAATCTTTAAGACTTTTTGATCACAAAATTTTTTAATTTTTGTTCCAAGTAGAACATTTTTTCATTGAAAGAAAAAGTGCCACTAATGGGGGTTAAAGGTGCCACTAATGAGGTCTTTTACCTTATTTCGAAAAAAAAATTCACTACTGAGTCATATATCTGTTTCAAAACATTCTTAAGAATGAATTTTTGTCTAAAAATAAAAAAAAACAACAACGAATTTTTCCCCCCTAAATTATTTCGAAAATTTGAAACTTAAATTTTTTTTAAATACTGTCAGAAATTTTGATACGGTTAATCATTAAGTCATTTGTTTATATTATCAATTGACTCCAAATTGATCATGTCAAATTTTTAAAAATTATTTTTACATTTACAATTTTTTAAATATACAAAAAATACATACATTTTGTTGAAAAATGAAACAATATAAAAAACAACATTTTTAACCAAAAATAATTTTGACAGGGATAAAAATTAATTCAATTAATTTAATCTAAAAATTCAAACGTTTCAAGGAATAAAATAAGCCAAAAATATAAGTTGATAAAAAAACGGTAAAGTAAACTCGTTTAGTTAGCAAATTGAATTTGTCAAACGTTGTTTGTTATCAGTTATCAGTGATCAGTCTTTACCGATGAATAGACCATAAGATGTAGATCTTGATAGGAAGAATCCTTATGAGTGTCAGTAGAGCACTAGAGTTCCCGCTAATCGGATAATCCGGACTCTTTAGTCCTTAGCGGAGTAGAGGATTTTAATTTTCTCTTCTTCCTTTAAAAGCTCCCCGTTGGGCTGTCTCGACCGAGATACCTCGGGGCTCTGGCAGGTCAAGTAGACGCTTTTAAAGGGATGAAAATCAAGTTCTCAGTTTCACTGACATAACTCTTATCCAAAAGTTTATTTCTTCTTCTCCTCTTTGTCTCCCTCGTCCTTTCTGCTCTTTATGTGTACTGAGTAGAGCGTCTCTTCATCAGAATAAGATAAAACCAAGTGTAAGCGCTACTAGATCTTTCTTAGCACAGCTTCTTTTTCCCACTCTCGCTCGGCTCGCCCTTCCTATCTTCTCCTTTAATCACTTTAATCTCGTAATCTTTTATTCCCAGTTAAAATTTTTTTTCATTTCAACATAATCTTTTTATTTTCATCTTTTGTACATACTTATAACAAATCAAGGCGACGTTTTCTTTTTTTTTTACTCTTGAATTTTAATAATATTCCAGTTTGTATTTAAATTTCCAATTAATCTTTTTTATTATTACTTGGAAATTATTTTTTCGGCGATAAAGATAAATTTAAATGATAAACTTTTTTCAGTGATTACACTTTTAGAATAAAATATTTTTTTTTTACAAAAAAAAATTTTTTTCTATACTTCATAATTATGATTTAAAAAATTTTTGATAGTTAATGTTATATAAATATTTTTCAATAAATTATTAAAAAAGAAAAATTGTCTAATTTTTACAAAAAAAAAAAAAAAAAAATACTTACTCCTAATTGTTAACAATAAAACGACTAATTTTTTTTTTCAAAAATAATTTTTAACAAAAAATTTCCCATATCGTATTAAAGACAACAAAAATTTTGTTTTCATTAATTGTTTCATTTTCATTATAATTATAATAATTCCTGTATAAGTACAAAAATAGGTCGGTTACTGTCTGCAGATATTTTTATCAATTTTCTCAATAGACATTCGATGTTCGTTGAATCGTGTAATAAAAACGTACAATAAAATAAAAATGAGAATTTTTAAAATGCAATATTTGCTTGCAAGCACTGGCTTGTATTTTTCGTGACTAAGCGAAATAATACAAGTATAAAGACAAGACGAGACTAGACGGGACAAGATGCACATTGATATTGATTTCTATACCGCGTTTATTTATATTTCGACCACGCTTCCGGTACTACGAGAAATATCAATAAAAATAGATACGTTGCATACCGAAATAAATAAAAAAAATCAATCGGAAGTCGATGAGTTGTAATTTTACTAATCGTATTTTTACAAATACGAATTTTTAAAGATAAAAGATCATATATTTATTTTTATATTTTAATCTCTAGTGGATAGATATTGCAAGTTAACAGCTACGATCGCCGGAGAGATAATTCCGTGGGACTTTTCTCAACAATTAAAATAGCAACCGCTTTTATTTATTATAATTTGATCCCGTTCTCCGGGTCTCTTTTGCCCTCACATTCAGCTCTTAACCATTATTATTCCGATTAACGTACCATACACGTGACAGTGGTCAGAGAGTACGTCAAAGCTCTTTTCCGCAAGGACTTTACTCGAAATAAACCTGGCAGCGATACTAACCGTGGCATTTTGCAATTGGTAAATGCATCGTTGTTAGAGAAAACGATGATCGTTTGTGCACCTGTACACAGTCCTTCCATTTATTCTCGTCTCTAAAATAAACATTATTATAATTATTATTATCTTTATTATTACTTTACGTGCATTTGGATTTTATTCTATAATTTTAGTAATTTTTATTACATTATTTATGGTGTTAATCCGATTTTACTGTTTCATTTATTGAGACAATTTTATTAAAAGTTATTTTTATGTTAACGTTCACTTTTTTTGGGATTTCATTTGTGGAGTGAAAATATAATGTATTACATTCTAATATCATTAGTTCAATCTTATTTTACAGATGAATTTAATGTAATTTTTTTGTGGTTTTTTTAAATTACATTTTATGTCAATATTAAAGTAAGAAACTTCTTTTTATTTATTTGAATATTTTATAAGTTGAATTGAAAAAAATTATGATAATAGAAATTTTTATATCGAGAGAGTTTGATGTGATGAGAAAAATTTCATGTACATAAGTTCAAGATTTATTTACTTTAGCTTCCTCTGAAAATTAAATATAAATTTTAAAAAAATTGATTAAGGAGGTACTGTGCAAAATCACTTTTCTTACAATATTCTTCAATTTTTGAATACGCGTACTTTCAAGTGTCCTCTATATGAATAAATTTTTTTTAACAGTTGTGCTAATTTTCGAAATATTATCAATTAAAAATCGTACATTTAACATGTATTCCCTATCCTGACCGTAGTTAGAGTGAACATTTTATTAAATAACAACCATACTTTTTTTTAGAATTTTTTTGAAAAACTGAGAATATTTAATTGAAGTCTTAACAAGTATTTTTTATCAAAAATAACACAAATAAACGGTTCATTTTTTTATAAGAAATGTTTGAAGTTAGTGACTCGATATTTTACGTAATAAGTGGAAATAAGTGAGCGATAGTCTGTAAAGAGAAGCAGCACTAGTGCGTGGGAAAGAAACCAATAGCCATTACCTATTGGTGTCTTTTTCTTGCCGCAATATCTCCTTAAGGTAGTACTATCGGTTTTAGAATAAGTGTTCAGAATTTAATGAAATTTGGGATATTGGTACTTTATAATATCATATTTAAGCAGTAAAATTTTTGGAAGCCAGGTGAGTCCTGAAAAAAAAGATATTAATATTTACATATTTTTGCCTTTACCATTGATCCTTATGGAAAATTACAGATTTTATTTTATTTCACAAAACTGGACTTTCAGATTCTTATAAAAATTGAGACAACGAGAGAAAATAACATCTAGAACATATTTAATAACAATCAGTATGGTTTCCGAGCATATGAAAATATTTATTAATAAAAAACATTCAAAATTTGTCTCTGTCTCTCTTTCTCCAACGTGATTTAGTATAGGGAAATCTACTACGTTAATCAAATAAAGTTAGGTTTTGGGATTTGACTCTTGTGGTAACGGTAGTACTACCTTAAAGTAAAATTTTTTGATATTTTTGAAGTTAATATTTCAAAAATATTCTTTAGTTTTTATTGTAATTTTATTTTATTTATGAAATAAATAAAAAAATAAAATTTGTCAACATTGAAGTTGGTTATATTTTTAAATTGAAATTTTCAATACTACTATTTCAATTTCACTCTACACGCAATAAAATTCACTTCGTTATTGAACAATAAATTTTTCACTTTAAATTTCCACACTGAAAATAAAACGGATTATATTTTTAATAATATTACTTCAATTCAAATCGTCAATCGAACCGATAAAAATTCACACCTGTATAAAAATTTATGATTTTCCCGAAGACAAATTTGTATATTCGAAATAAACAGATTAGCTTTAAATGATTTTATTGCTTATTCATTCAATGGATATTATTGAATTTGTAGTTTAATATATTTTGCGTAATAAAATTTCTCTTAATCCAATTTATCTTTAAAAATTATAATGACTTATTCAATTTTTACTAACATAAAATAAATTATAATTTTAAATAATAACTCTGAGTTTTATCAAAAAAATTTTTTTCCCATTTTAAATATTATAATTCAATTGAAAAAAAATTATTATAAAAATTTATAATTTTTTTTCTTTATTAATTTCGTATAAAAACTAAAAAATGTAATTTTTTTAGTCGTAACAATCTTTCAATCTCTTTAATGAAGAATTTTGACAATTAATATCCATGATTTCCAAAAACAGGAATTTAAAAATGAATATTTTAATTAAACGCAAGACCTTAACCTTATTGCACTTTCGGGTGAATAATTGTGCACTTACTGTCATAGAGTTTGACCCAGAAACTCATCTAAAAATAATAGTTGTTGTCTCTTGAACATTCTGTTCTCTCTTAACACTCATCAAGTCCTATCTAGATAAATTGCCAAAGAGAAAAAGAGAGCGATAGGTAAATTAAGATAAAGCGACTGGTGACAGATATTAGCCTTTAAAAACCGGGAAAACCCGAAATTTTTATTTCTGAACTTTTATCTCTACTCATATTAGATCAGTATCAATAATAAGAATAAAAATAAATATTGATAAGTCAATAAACTGATGAATTATATAAATGTGTGTACTATAAGATAAAATTTGTAACATGTATTAAGAACTAGATTATTTAACGGAAAGTTTCTCAAGTAGTATAGTAGCAAGTATATTGTTGAAACGTTGCCCCCAGCGTTGAGATGTGTTCCCTGTCATGTATGAAATGGCGAATGGCGTACGCAGCTCAGTGGTTCATCGAGTTCACTCTACGGATTACTACATCACGGATAATGTCCACTAAAGTTAGTTTTCCTCGTTGGTGATAGAGTTCCGAGGGTTTTAAAGTACTTTGCACAGTCCTCGACTCTGAAATTAACTATAAAGCGAGGATTATCACATTTTAAAAAACCATAAGGCTTGTAAAGTTCGGAATTTAAAATTTTTTATGTTTAATAAACTTTTTTACAAATTTCTCTCCTCAAAAAAAAAATTACATGATTTTTTTAAATAAATAAATAAATAAATTATTTATTTATTTATTTATACTGCATTTCATATTTTTAATTTTATTAAAATTTTTTTTTCTAAAATTCAAAACTTATTTCGTAACAAAAAAAACATTATAATAAAATAAGAAAATAATCGCCTCCAACGAGTTTTGGACTAGTATATAGAAAACAGCTTATGAATAAAAAAAATATGATACAAAAATTTGATGCGTTCTTACTTTGATCAGCATAAAGCAGAATTTGCTGACGAAATGAGAGTGTGAAAAAGATAAGGAGGGTCGGGGGGTACAGGGGGCTAAGTGTGAGAGCGAGAGAAAGAGAAAGAGACTTGAGCTTTCGAAACGCCCGAAACCCATTGACCTAACGAAGTCTTGTCTGAGGAGCTTTTATCGCGATTGAAAAAGGCCTCGTGAAACTTTTTCATTGACGATCTTTGCCAGTCTTCTTTATATTACTCAGGTAATAAAAGACTTGAATACAGGAATGGGTTTCAATAGCTTACAAATGGGATTTCCATTTTCATTACCGAGCACTAAAAAAGCTATAGTTATTTATTATCGACATTATGCACTAGATAATTCATAAAATTTATTTTTTTTTTCTTCCAGAGTTGTTAACTGAGAATGCGCGATGACGCAGCGAATTTACCAGTGGTCCACGAACCCTCTCGAGGGGGCCCCCCAGAGTATCCAAATGGAGCCTCCCAAGACAAAGTCGAATCATCAAGAAAAAATCCCCTTGAGGTGTAAGTACACATATCATTAAGTAACACCTTATATTTTAAGTTGGTTCTATTTATCTTTTCTTCTTTTCCTGCTTATTTTTTTATGGTAATTTCTATAATATTTCTAGGTAGCTCCGTCTACCTTTCAAATATGAAACTAAAACTTTTAATTTCAATTAACAATTTATAATAACTTTTCAAAGTAATTAAATTACATTTTAAGTTATGAATTCTTTTTTGATCAAAAAAAGAATAAATATTTTTATTGTTACACAGATAATTTAATGAAAGTTCATTTCACATTTTTCAAAAATTGATTTAGCGTAATAGAAACGAGAAAATTTTGTAAATAAACTAACAATCGTTATTCCTGCCTTGCGATGGAAAAATTTTCATAGCTTGGAAACACAATAACTGATGAAAAAATTTATTTACTTCAATTTTTCTTTTTGTTCCTAGAAGACTTTTTGTATTTAAAATAATTATCTAACTCGGTGTTCTTTGTTTATAATTAATGAAAATCTAAAATGATATTTTCTTAATTATTATACATAAAATATACGCGGTAAATTTTTCCCTATCTAATTAATAAAAATAAATTTCCTTCTTTTTCGCTTTATAAATTAGTGATATAATATATTATTACTAAAAATTATTACCAAAAATTCAATGAGCATTATAAGTCGCGCACTTGTGGATTTTCCAAACTTTTTTTTACTGAAATTAATATATTCACTTTTCTTTTAATTAAATTAACAAAATTATTTGAGTGCACTCGACTGATTTCTCAAAATATTAAAAAATTTGTTCATGTGAAAAAAAATATTGGGTATAGAATAAAAAACTTAATATCTCAAAAATGAATAGAGCTTTGCACCTTAATAAATACATACTTTTTAAATTTTATTTTATTAGCAAAGACCTTTTGCAAACTTGAGCAATATCAGAGTAACTTATCTCTTGGCCTCTCCTCGCAGTATTCTAGATCGTGTTCCGATAGTAGCTTTGTCGATAAAGTTTTCCAACAGCAATTATGTCGGTTAATGGATCCCCCGGGGGATTGCGACAGATTTTCACAAAATAAATAACTATTCTACCAGGAAAAGAGTAAGAAGTAGAGTAACTTCGACAGCTCCTTGGACTCGTGATACTTGCACTTCTCTGAAGAGTACGATTACTCGACTCGTTCCTCTCGAAGCAAACTCCAACTCCCAGCTACTCTAGACTTTCCTACTTCGATATTTCTTCATTACATTTTTTTTTTTCATCGTTAACTTGCAAGATCTATTGAATTCCTTTTCAGACGTTTATATTTATCATTCTATTTTTCAAATAAAATTAAATTACTTTAAAAGTCAGATCGTATGCTTTGTAATATATTTTATTTTCATGAATTTTCATACTGTATTTTTTTATTTTCAGAATATAGATTTTTATAATTAATCGGGTTTATATTATTTCACACGTTTACATTATAAATTATAGCGTCATCTCGTTATTATTGAAAGGGACATTATTATTTTTGGAGTATTGATCTTATTATACTCGCCACATGACCTGATGGCCGAGTTTAAACCTCAAATTATCAGACTTAAAAAAATAATTATTATAAATTCAAAATTTGATAAATTTTATACGAAGAACTTGTAAATATTTCCGTATTTTTTTTTCTCCAAAAATTGTTGACTGATTTCATTGTTTGTAACTCAATTTTATTTCAAAAAATTTAATAAATATTTTTGGAATAATTTTTGCAATTGCTCTATTAAAAAATTGATTGTAATTATTGTGATTTTTCCGTGTAAAAAATCTTAATAAACTTCTTTCAAACTTTGATAATTAAAAGATAAATTGTTTAATTCTTTTGCACTTCTCTCTGTTCTATTATTGATATTTCTAACTTTCGTAATTTACATTTATACTAATACTGATATTAATATTAATATAAAACACTATTGTACATTTATATTGTATAATAATCATACCAATAAATTTACACGTAACATTAAGTGGCTAATTATAGGTTTGAATGAGCGTGTGTAGTACTAGTGTATTTAATTTACAGACACACAACAAGACAAGGAGAAGGATAAACAGGAAACAGAATGTATACTGGATGATGATAATGAGCCAATGTACGAGTTAAATACATATATCAATTATCGAATATCAAATATATCATTAAATGAGTAATTAATGGGTCCAATAAAATTTTAAAGGATGCCTCAAATGTGATACATAAACAGACAAAATAATTTAACAAACATTAAAGCCACTTATCAATTTTTCATTACACTTAAGTTAATCAACGAATACGGTTTGCGTAAATTATTCTGCTGGATATAAAAGCACATTATGTAATTATAAAATGTATCTGTTCACAGTGAATTTGTTCCACCGCAAACAAAGGAGGAGGATAAGCCACCCCCAGAGGCGCCATCCGTACCACCCATCCCTTATTATAAACTCGTAAGTACCTGATTTTCTGCATCCCTGATCACCAATATAATATCGTGTAATATAACTTATCTTTTACTTAAATGAACTTAATACTCAACTTTAACATTAACTTACATTGGTACGTGATCTAATTTGAGTCTCATTAAATATCAGAAAGGACTTGCTAATTTTATTATGTAGGGTAATGTATTGCTATTAAGGTACTTTACAGCGATGTAACACGTAGTCATTTTGTGCATTAATAGTTGTAATATATAATATAGTTCTAGATATATTATATATTATAGCTGTAAGATAATTATACAATGTAAAAAATTTTTGGAGTGGATGATTTTTAATTGATTTAATCCTTCCGATGTCTTAGTTTTTTTTTTTTTATTGAATAAAAATAAAAGAAAATCGTTAATTATTTCAAAATTAAAAATTGCGAATTTAAAAATTTTAAAAATTAATAAACTTTTTTTCTTAGTTTGATCTAACAAATAAATTTTAATGTTTCAAAAAAATTACATCAATATATTTTTCCAATTTCTACAATTAAAATTAAAAAAAAAATTCTTTGTCTAATAATTTATTTGTGATAAAATCTTGAAAATTACCATAGCCAGTTAATTCCAACAACATCAAAGTAATTAATTTGATTTAATTGAACAAAGTCCTGTTGATAATTTATTATTTTATACTTGTTACATTAGTATTTATGAGCAAGACTTGAAAAAATAATCTTTGTGAAAATCATACATAATTAATGTTTATAAATTTAAACTTCAGATAAATTGCTTCAAGTATTTCTTAGTACTTTGGTACAGGAAATTTGTTTAAACTAATTAAAATTCGTTTGTTTAAAAACTCCGTATTTGGAAAATTCACTCCCGATTTTTTACAGTGTAAGATTGACTTTTATATCTTTTTAAAAAAATTAATTGTATTTTGCACGAAATAATCATATTTGTTTTAGTTTCGATTTGCGACATTCGGCGAGTTGATGTACGTCTTTGCTGGCCTCTTCATGGGCACCATGACGGGCCTGTGTATTCCAGTAGCAAATATTCAGTATGGTGAGTTCACTACTCTTCTGGTGGATCGTAATATGACGAATCAGACCAGCACGCCTACTTTTGTCATGGAGATGTTTGGTGGTGGAAAGATTTTGTAAGTACTATCAACAAAATAACAAGTAAAATTAATTACGGATTAATTAAATCTTTTTTTATATTACTCAAAAGCAGTATAATAATTAAATCATTGAAAATAATATTCATGATAATTATTAGAAAAATCAATAATTTTAATAAAAAAAAAAAAAATAATAAATTTAAAAAAGTTGTAATGAAGATCTGAATAATAAAAGAATATTCTAATGTCTATAGACTCTGTTAAAAGTTTTATTTCAACTTCTTTAACGATCAAAATTAACTTTAACCCATGAGACGTCTTATTCAAATACTTTAACGACTCTCTACTTTTTTACTCATTTTCGTTCTTAAGTTAACAGAACTACAACTATTTCATTAAATTGTTAATTAACAGTCTTGTGAATTCCTTCGAAGGACAAATTATTTTAAACATTGAAACTAAATTAAAATTTTTTGCAAAATCTTTGATTATTTTAATTTAAAAGCATCATTATTATTTTAATTTAAAAGTATTATTATTATTATTATTATTATTATTATTATTATTATTATTATTATTATTATTATTATTATCATTACATGAAAGTACTCAACTGATACTATTATATTCTTGTGTCAAGAAAATTTTCTTAATAGTAGTTAGTAGTATTTTTTTTCTCATTGTAGAAAATCTTATCACTTTATAGTAACAATTATCATCATATAGACATTAAAAATGAAAAACAAGGATCGTTATTAAAAATTAATTCATAAAAAATAACGTTATAAAAAAATTATTTCCATGTACAGACAACATTTCAATAATTCAACATCTTCTAAGAAGTTAATGGAACTTACATTTTACTTAATGTAGATATTGTTTCTAAAATTACTACCGATCATATAGCTTTTGTGCATCATATTGAAGCCAAAAAGTCTACTAAAATATGGACAAAGTAATAAGTAATAAAATAACCAATAAGTAAACTTATGTAATCTTATTATAATAAGTAATGATAGTGATGGTTAACTTTTAATAAGATCTTTGCTTTCAATATGTAAGATACTAATGTGATCATCAGCTCATAAATTTCGTATACTACACGGAGAAAAATTTATAGGAACCTTTCCAAAAATTATGGGAATGGTTCCTATATAATAATGGAATAGCTTCAATATATTATAGGAATGGTCCCTATATTATTAAAGAAATGGTTCCTATAATATTATGGAAATGACGCACATAATAATAGAAAAATGTTTATGTTCATAATAATGAAGCAATCCCATTAAAATATAAAGTAATTATTATATATTTTTTTGCTAATAATCTTTTTTTTTGTAAATAAAAATTGATCTTTCACTAGAGTGAAAAAATTTCTTTTTCATAATTTTTATTCACGTGTGTACATAATCTTAAATTGTTTATTCCAAATCAGTTATTATTGTGTTAGATAATATTGAAAACACATCAAAATATAAAGTAATTATTATATATTTTTTTGCTAATAAATTTTTTTTTGTGAATAAAAATTGATCTTTCACTAGAGTGAAAAAATTACTTTTTCATAATTTTTATTCACGTGTGTACTTAATCTTAAATTGTTTATTCCAACTCAGTGTTATTATTGTGTTAGATAATATTGAAAAATATTGTAGCAATTTTAAAATTTTTCTAATAAAAGGGATATTTTCTCACTATAGAATTAGAAGAGCCAAGTAGATATGGAAATTCATTGTTTATTTTTACAATTTCATTTTATTTTTAAAACAAATTATTTATTTACAATACATACGTTGAATATTTATTAAATCCACCTTTTGGGTGTGTAACTTTTATTGTTTATATATGAACAATATTACTTATTTTACATATTTCAAATGATGTTATTGGGAAGCAAGTAAAATTATCGAAATTACTAATAATTTCAAATGCTTCAAAGTGGTCATCGAAGTCACAAATAACTTGAATTGTAATGATAAATATCTCAATATTATTAGGCATTATCACGATAATATTATGGGAATGGTTTCTATAATAATATAGAAACTGTTCCTCTATATTATGGGAACCATTCCTATATATTATGGGAATTATACCGATATTACAATTATAATTATAGGTATCGTTTCTATAATTATAGGAACCATTCCCATAATTATAGTAACATTTCCCAAAAATTATAGGTACAATTCCCATAATTTGAGTAATCGCTCCTAAAATGGTATAGGAAAACATTTCATTAAAATTATAGGAATGATTTCCATATTTTTCTCTCCGTGTATAAAATCCAAACAAAAAATTTATGTTTAATATTACTGTTGCAGAGGACCGAATGCATCAAAAGAAGAAAGAATGAATGCGTTGTACGACGATTCAGTAGCCTTCGGAGTGTCCTGTGCAGCTTTGTCGACCTTTCAATTTATCTTTGCAATATTCACAGTAGATCTGCTGAATGTCGCAGCGTTCCGTCAAATTCACAGGATCCGTCGCATGTTTTTGCAAGCTGTTTTGAGACAGGACATGTCTTGGTACGACACCAACACCTCGACGAACTTCGCTAGCAGAATAACCGAGTAAGTTATTTCGCTGAATAAATATTATTTGTTTATTTAAACTTGACAAATTCTTCCCTTGACATCGATGTCAGCATCGATACCGATACTAATATTGATACTGAGGTTATCGATTCTGATAAGAGGAAAATGCCACGTTAAGCACGTGACATCTAGGGTCGGTTAAATAGGATAGAAATGCCAGAGGGATGAAGTTGCTGTGGCGAATGAAAACGAGCTGGAGAAGGGAGGATATAGGAGATAGAAGGGCTAAGAGGCAGAGTTGATGCTCCTATCTCAAATACTGGGGCTGAGTAAGAGCAAAGTTCAGGACACAGGGGAGGAACGCAACAGGTGGTTCAGAGTTGCTGGTAACCCGAAAATCTTGTCTTTGGTTCAACTTATATTCCTATTGTGTGGGCTTTTCTCATCACCCATTGCCTGGAGGTTGTTCTTGACTTGTCTTGTGCAAGCTCTGCCATCTACCTTCCATTCTGATATTCAGTGTAGCATAAAACAAGAGTGAGGAGGAGAGTCCGTCGACAAGAGAACATGACTGACCGACTACGAATCGAGATCATGTTCCGCACGTCAATATCATCCCTGTTAGTTTATCTCGTTTAGCTTGAAGCTGCAGACCAGCCTTATCAGTGAACTAGCTCGTTCTCTAGTCGTAGTAGTATTAGTAGTATCTCGTGTCACTCATTGTTGTAAATTCAGCTCCTTGGTCTCCTGGGTTCTTTTGACCCGAACAGCTCGACTGTGCAAACTCGTCAGACCGATAATGAGAAAGATGTCCTAGTCAAAGCAATGATACGTCTTGTCACTCGTATTCTCTATTAATCACGCTGATAACTTCCCAGTTCAATGCTTTCGGTGACTCATATTTTATGTTTTTAGATATTATTTCATCTAATTTTTATTGCACAGCCCGACTCAATTATTATCATCTATATATAATTAAGAGAATAAGAAAAATTTTGTTTCCGGCGTATTTATATGATAAAATAGGTTTTTTTAGTTAAATTTATTTTATTTATTTATTCAATTTTTATGTCAAGGCAAAATAGCCGAATGATAATAATATACATAATTTTTATAATAAAGTACACATATAGCAATATTAAATATATAAGACTAACATCATCATTCATCATATTTTAACTATTATTAGTAACTATAACTAGTACTATTAACAATAATTTACTATTATTGGAAATGTCTTCACCTGAATTTGTGCTTTTTAGTAGATTTCATAGAAATCTAACTATTGCATTGGTCCTCATGACGGAACTATTGAAAAATTTTGCTATATTTCGACTCAGCTCGTCAAGCGGATTCAGAAAATGCATATGGTTCAAAAGTTTATCTATGTATGTATATATATGTATATATATGATATAACCGGCCTTGTCTCTTCTCTAACTCCCGCAATTCTGTACGGATCTCAATAAAACGTAACATACTTATTTTTAGGACGATTTCCAAGGTTAAGTTCTAAGATGAGCCTAATCTGTCGATTAGTTTAGAAATCAGAGCAATTCAAAAATTTTCAAAAATTGAAAAAAATTTTCGTTTTTACCTTATTTCCGTGTAATAACAATGGAACGCGACATCCTATCGGATTTCTGTAAAGTGCGATTGAAAGCTTATTTAATAAGCTTCAATTTGTATAGTTATTTATTTTTCCAAATTGAATAGTATAGGAATAATAGCAATTCAAAAATTTTCAAAAATCGCAAAAATTTTCACTTTTTCCGTATTTCCGTACAATTACAATGGAACGTGATATCTTATCAAAATTCTATAAAGAGCATCTGAAAGCTTATTAAATAAGCTTCAATTTGTGTACCTCATTATCAGTCTAGGCCAAAAATTACCTCCTTTTTCAGACAGATTTAATGAAATTTTACTTTTGCATTCGTTTTGACGTCATTGTTATTTAATGTAACAGAAAATTATTTTTTTTGTATGTAACCCTAGTAGTATTTTATTTGTTCATCATGAAATCTACTTCCATTTCGGCTGCCGAATGGCCTTTTTTAAGGTTTTATATGGTTTTCTACACAGAAAAAAAATGTTCTTGAATCAAGTATATAATTTTGAAGAACTTAATATTCTTAATTTGCGTAGAAAAATTCTTGATTTAAGAAATCTATAGAAATCTTTTGTAACGAGAAATAAAAATAAAAAAAAAAAAATTTTTTTCTTGATTTAAGGAAATTTTACTTGATTCAAGACAATTACCCTCTTCAAAATTATATTCTTGGTTCAAAAATTTTTCTCTTGAATCAAGTTAATTTTTTTTTCAGTGTAAGATAGTTAATTTATTATGATAAATTATCGGAGTAGTTATAGATTTCAATTTCAAACTAGATAAAATTTGTTTATTTAGTTATTTTGTTTTGTCGATATGAACGCCGTTGTATGTCGAATTTTAACCGATATAATTAGACAAATGAGAAAAAATAATAGTCAATTTATTATCTAAATATTTATGAGAAAAAAAAAAATTTGTCACGGGCAAATTTTTAATTTAAAAGGGATTTTTATAGTTAAATTAAGAATTATCAAAAAGATCTTTATCTGAATTTGTATCTTTGAGGATGCTATAAATTTTTTTGTGAAAGTAAATTATTTATGTTAAGTTTTTGGAGCAGTTTTAAATAGTTTTTTGGTTATATAAATTTGTTCAGTTCCATTTGCTATTAAATTACCGGTAGTTGATCCTGTAATAGCAATATTATTTTTTAAATTTATTTCAAAAGTACTTATGTACTTTGTATATTGTGATTAAAAATATTGAAAAATCATTAAACCAAAGTTTTCTTCTTCACAATTCATAATATTATTATTATTTTTTTTTTCTAGGGATTTAGATAAGATGAAAGAAGGAATGGGAGAAAAATTGGGAGTATTTACGTATCTGACGGTTTCATTCGTGTCATCTATAATAGTGTCCTTCTACTACGGATGGAAGCTGACCCTGGTAGTCTTAAGTTGCGCTCCAGTGATTGTAATTGCCACTGCGATCGTAGCCAAGGTCCAAAGCTCGCTAACTGCCTTGGAATTGACGGCTTACGGTCAGGCAGGTAGCGTAGCTGAAGAGGTTCTTGGTGCGATTCGTACAGTAGTGGCATTCGGAGGCGAAAAAGTAGAGGTCAATCGTTACACTGCTAAGCTAGTGCCTGCCGAGAAGACGGGTATTAAACGTGGAATGTGGTCCGGAGTGGGTGGAGGTATTATGTGGTTCATCATCTACCTAAGTTATGCGGTTGCCTTCTGGTACGGAGTGCAGCTCATTCTTGAAGATCGTCCGAAGCTTGAAAAAGAGTACACACCAGCAGTCCTGGTAATTGTCTTCTTTGGAGTGCTCGCTGGCGCCCAAAATATGGGATTGACTTCACCACATCTTGAAGCCTTCGCGGTGGCTCGCGGATCCGCGGCTACTGTTTTTCAAGTCATCGACCGGGTGCCCACTATCGACAGTCTTAGCACACAAGGACAGAAGCTTCCTAGTGTCAACGGGGATATTGAATTCAAGGATGTGTACTTTAAGTATCCAGCGCGTAAGGATGTTAAAGTCCTGCAGGGGTTGAATTTGAAAATTAAAAGCGGAGAAACAGTCGCACTTGTGGGTGGATCTGGATGTGGTAAATCGACCTGTCTCCAACTTATTCAACGGCTCTATGATCCTCTTCAGGGTCAGGTATGTTAAAGTATATACATTTTTTATTTAATTCATAATTAAGTTATAAATAGTTAATTATAAATTATTTCAATTAAAAATTTTATGTTAAATGTATCAAAGTAATTGCTTTAATTAGTTACTTTTTTTATAAATTTTGGATAATTCAAAAAATTCCATTAGTGTATTATTAAAAAAATGAAAAATTTCAATGATTAAATGTTTGAATCCATAAAATAAAAAAAGTCCAAAGTGCACGCCTCATAATCTCATTTTTCACAATAAAATTGATTAAAATAAAATATAAAAAGCAAAATAATAAAAAACCAAAAACTCTGCTATGGTTTAGTGGCGCCATAACTCTAAGGTGAGGGAAAAAATACTATAATAACATGTATACATAGATATACAAAAATACACAGTCGTATCTTAGTTTTTTTATAAATAATAATTAAACGGCATTGAATTGAGCGCTTATATTAATTGAGAAAGTCCACAGTGTGTTACTTTAGATGATAAAAAAAATTATTCCGGTACGATCATTTACTATGTTAAATAAAAAAATTATTATTGAAATATATTTTATGTGCTTGACAAATTATTTGACTTGATATAAGTGTACTCATATTAACCTGTAAGTGCGATATAAACAACAAAAAATCAATTTCAGTTTCGAGAAAATTGCTTTTTCTTAATTCAGTTAAATTACGATCTTTTCTTAAAAGAAAGTAGTAATATGATAGATTATATATTAATATCTTTATTGACAGGTGTATTTGATGCCTGCCTCCCCGACCAGCAGCACTCGCTTCGCTCGTGCCGCAAATGTCGGGGGCAGGCATCAATTTTTTTCAACGCAATTTTTAACGTACTTTCGACCGCATAGTAAGAAAACTAGTATACACTACATGGGCAGAAATTTGAGAGCCCTGAACTGCGTGCCATGATGCCCTCGGCTTCGCCTCGGGCATATAGCGCGCAGTGCAGGAATCTCAAACTTTCTGCCCTTGTAGTGTAATATACTATTTTTGAAATGTCAAGAGTAGAGCACAACCTCAACGCTTTGCTTATGAGGCGTGCAATACATGAGACCTTGTAGTAAGTCAATAGTCGAAATTCGAAAAAAATGGGACACGATTTATCATTGGTTGAAATTAAAGAGCGCGCGTGACGCGTTATTTAAATTTCTAGATAAATATAAAATAAAGAATCAAAAATTGTTGTCAATTTAATTTTGCATTTTTTTCAGTTGATAAATTTTGAGGAAGTTAAAAATTTGAATTATTTATAGTATTCTATAAAAAAAAGCTCTTTTTTTTTTTAACAAATAACTTATTGATAATGATTTAATAATTTTTAGAAATTTTGATAATGTAATTAATTTTGTTTAAAATAAATTTATTTGCAAACCCATTACGGTCATAGATTATACTATTAAAAACTTAGCAATAGAAATGAATCTCACAATTTTTTTCCATGTTCTAATAAATTTCTAAAAGCCAGCTTGTAAAGTTCAAATGTAATGAGGTCAAAAAAATTACGCGATGATTTTTTTTATATCAGAAAACTTTTACACCTTATATTCCCTCTTGGCTATATTTTATAACCAGGCAGTAATATTGAGGTAATAAAGCGTTACATCATCACATTTTACGAGGAAGCTTACTCGCACTAAGAATCTAAACATATATATATAACATTTAACTTTGATACATTTATATAAATACCGTTTGATCTTTACTGGTGATTACATTGAGATTTATACTTATATATATTTATACTCGCACAAGTATTAGTGTCAACTCGAACATACCTTTGATCTCTCAGATAATTATGAATATAAATAATTTGCTCCTACAGTAAGAGTACAGTATGTCTTAAATATGTTTGTGACAGGTGATGTTAGACGGAGTTGACATAGCCAAACTTAATGTCGGATGGATGCGGTCGTACATCGGCGTAGTCGGGCAAGAGCCAGTGCTTTTTGATACAACCATAAGAGAGAACATCCGCTACGGAAATGATAATGTCACTGAAGAGGAGATGATCAAAGCTGCTAAGGAAGCTAATGCTCACGACTTCATTAGCAAATTACCGGAGGTGAGAAAATTAGGTGTTATGTACAATCTAGACATGAGACTTCTGATATACGATACAAGATATATCTTATAAACTAATTACTATTAATTCAAATGATCTGTGAACCGATCGGGTGATTTCGAGTTGAGAGATTTTGATTGGATCTATTTACCTACCCTTACTCTTGGAGGATCGAGGTTGTGTAATTAAATGTATGTATTTTCCACGAGTTGATCTCGGGAGACAGATTATTTATGGTAATTATAGGTGTCAAAACGGTGTGAACGACTGTGGAATACTCACAGAAGCTAATTGATGCCTGTTGACACAAGTCAACAAGTCAACCAATTCCCCAAAGACACTGGTTAAATTTGGGTATACGTCATAGGCTATATAAGTCATGAGTACGATTAATCAATCGGCTTGATTATCGACGCGTGATGTTGTTAATGATTGGACTTGTTAATATTATCGTTTATATGTTCTCCTCATCATTTTATTAATTATCAAATTATCATTACCATAATGATGACTATACAATACTAAAGTCGCAATTGGTGATTATTATTCTTATACATATCGAACAGTTTACATAGGAACAGTTTAAAATATAGTAATAGTAACTTACATTTATTAGATTTTTTACAATTGTTTTATAAGAAAAAGGTTTACACTCGTCCATTGATAAAGAATTTGATTTATACATTCAAAATATATTAACAAGAATATTTAAAAAAAAAAAATTGGCTAAAAAACTAAAAAATGCCCTTCAATTTCGAACCGAACTAAAAATATATAAAATACTTTTAAATTATTTTCAATAAGTTTGAAACATCAATATATTGGTTAACTAAAAATTCATTTTGTTAAAAAAAAAAAAAGCGTTAGGTGTTTGATAAAACTGTTGTAAATATTTTATTACTAGACGTCTGTAAAAGTAAAATAATTAAAAAAATAAAAATAAAAATATATTGAAAAGTAACTCACATTTTTTTTTTTTTACAATAAAATGAATTTTTTTGTTAGTAACTCGATTTTTAATTTAATTAAAAATTATTTAATACTTTTTAATTTGATTTGATTTAATTTTTTAGTATAATTAAAAATCATAAGCATTAGATTGTAGATAATACTTAATTAAAAAAAAAAGCAACATTTACTGAGCTTAATTTAATAATTCGTTCTACTTTATTTGAAGTTAATTATTCAAATATTATAACTTGTGACAATTATCTAAATTTCGAGACTTTATACGGCAATAAAAGATAGTACGTAGACGAGAAAATAAATGAATGAGTCTTGGGTGAGTTTATTCAAAGCAAGTAGGATGATAAACATTAAAATTGGTGCTCGGTGAGGTTTATAGTGGTTGCGGGCTTCCCAATTCTCGGGGTTAATCAAACAAGCCCCCATTTTCGCTGATAGCAAATTGTTGAAAAGCGAGAGATCCGGGCGGTGAACACTTGTCTCTTCTCTCTTTCTCCCCCAGTCCCTCGATTTTCACTCACCACTATTCACTTTCCACTCTCTACTATCCACTGTTTATCCTCGTATAGTACTGCAGACTAATACGTGCGATAACTCATGTTAATTTTCATCTCGTGGCCGATTTACGAGTCCACTGTGAGCTGTGAATGCATTTTAAGTGTTAATGTGATGATAATTTCGATTTAATCGATTGCAGATTTATTATTAATTATTATCAGCATCTCCATCATTCTATCACTATTAACTATTATTTCTTCGTTCACACTGTTATCAGTTATTAGTCATTAGTTATTAGTGATGACGATTTAATTAAAGTTCTTGTCACATCGAAGCGTTCAATCATACGCTGAAAAAAAAATTAATTTGATTCGAGAGGAAAATTCTTGAACCAAGAAAATAATTTTGAAGAGGATAATTGTCTTGAATCAAGTAAAATTTACTTAAACCAAGTAAAAATTTCTTAGTTTAAGAATTTTTTTACTTAAATCAAGAAGATGAAGTTCTTCAAAATTATATACTTGATTCAAGAACATTTTTTTTCTGTGTACAAATGTATATATTATCAATGATTTCAGGGTTACGACAGTCCTGTTGGTGAGCGTGGCTCGCAATTATCAGGTGGACAAAAGCAAAGAATAGCCATAGCCCGGGCATTAGTACGTAAGCCCAAAATTTTGATTCTGGATGAAGCGACATCTGCGTTAGATCTTCACAGCGAAGCGACCGTACAACGTGCTCTTGATGCGGCTGCCAAAGGCAGAACTACTGTTGTTGTTACTCATCGGTTATCAACGATCACCAATGCCGATAGGATCGTCTTCATCAAGGATGGACAGGTTGCTGAAATGGGAACACACGAGGAATTACTTGCGTTGGGAAATCATTATTACGGATTAGTTTCTGCTGATGCCAGTACGACTGCTAAAGGTATCTATATATAATATATTTTCTATTGTATATTGTATATTAATTACTGATACAATATATTATATTATCAGCATAATCTGCGAACACATCAATTCAACTTTTTAATCACTACTCAAATACTTCAGTTTGTTAGTGAAAATGAGGGAGAATTTAATATTGATTTATTTAAAAAACTTTTATGAATTTTAAACTTAAAAATTTTTGATAATTTTTTTTTTTGATAAATGTGTATTATTAATGGTTCAAATTTTCTCTCATTTTTTAACAAAAAATTTTAATTTTCAATATTAAAAGATTTTTTGGCTTGAAAATTTTTAGAGAAAAATTTACTGGATAAAGATGAATTTATTTCTGACCTTTACAAAAGAAAAGATGATAAAAAATAATATTTATTTTACAGCTAAAGCAACAGCAACCGTAGCAAAAAGTACAGTAGCAGCCGTTCCAAAAGCCAAACCACCATTAAAGAAACAATTTTCAACGTTGTCAATGCATTCGCATCGTCTGTCACTTGCCGGCGCGTCTACAACATCCGAAGAGGAGCTCGACGAACATGAGAAACCCTACGACGCTCCGATGAGAAGAATTTTCGGGCTGAACAAACAAGAGTGGCTCTTCAATTTGATTGGCAAGTACTTTAAAACCTCTGCACTGAGAAAAAAAATACTTCTATTAAGAGTAGATGTTCTTGAAGAACGCATACTATTAAAAATTATATTAAAGCTATTCGTTTGGTAGTTCATTATAATACAAATAGTAATTGATATTCTTTCTTTAAAAAATTGATTTATTAAATGGTTAATTTAAACAAATTCTTGAGTCAATAAATCCTTATCTGCTCTGATAGAAGAATTCGTTAATATTTAATATGCCTTATTATCTGTTAATAAATAATTTTTTGACATTAAATAATTTAATAAATATTAATTGATTGTTGATAAATTATTTATTAATACCGATTTATTAAAAGTTGATAAATCTTTATTAACAGTTAACAAATATTTATTAATAGTCAACAAATTATTTTACTGTTGATAAAGAAATTCTTCAATAAGAAATGAGCATACAAATTTAACAATGGAATTTTTTATAAACCTACTTTACTTCATTAGAAATTTCTATCAGATGCAGGTACATTAATAATTTTCTCACGAAAGAATAGAAAAAATAAAATGAATAATAAAGCAGTAGTTGCAATTAATTATACATTTTATTTGTGGTGAAAATTATAAGTACCTCGTATATTTATCATAACAGCTTATGCCATTATTTATTTATGACAAATTTTCACATTTAAACATTTAATAAATTAATAAATTTTTTTATCAGTGTTTACATAATTTACTTTTCCAAGTATGAATTTAATAAAACACAATTAACAATTAACTAATGATTTAAATCAATAAAAACAGGTTGTCTAGCCGCAGCAACAGTTGGCGCCTCATTTCCAGCATTCGCGATGTTATTTGGTGACGTCTACTACGTACTGGGTTTGGAAAACCCGGACGAAGTTCGTGAGAAGACGATAACTTTCTCAATCTACTTTGGAATAGTCGGAGTGGTAACCGGAATAGGAACTTTCCTGCAAATGTACATGTTTGGGTTGGCAGGAGTGAAGATGACCGCGCGAATCCGTAAAATGACATTCACAGCGATGTTGAAACAAGAAATGGGGTGGTACGATGAGGACACCAATAGCGTGGGAGCATTGTGTGCCCGGTTATCATCAGACGCGGCTGCTGTGCAAGGAGCAACTGGGAGTCGTATTGGCGCTATTCTGCAAGCGTTGTCAACTTTGGTGCTGGGAATTGGTCTGTCAATGTACTATTCGCCAGAAATGACTCTTGTGTCGGTGGTTTCGATACCGCTGGTACTTGGAGCAGTATTTTTTGAGGCGCGTATAATGGGCGGACAAGGGATGCAAGAGAAGAAGAAAATGGAATGCGCAACGCGAATAGCGGTCGAAGCTATTTCGAATATTCGGACTGTTGCGAGTTTGGGAAAGGAGAAGGCCTTCCTAGAGCGATACTGCGTTGAGTTAAACCACGTTGCTAAAGCCACCAGAGTAAAGAATCGCTTACGAGGTCTGGTCTTCTCTTGCGGACAAACCATCCCCTACTTTGGATACGCTCTTAGTCTCTATTATGGTGGTTATCTCGCGGCCAGAAAGGATTTACCCTATCAAGACGTGATAAAGGTTTCAGAGGCGCTGATCTTCGGGTCCTGGATGCTTGGCCAGGCGCTTGCTTTTGCTCCAAACTTCAACACTGCCAAGATATCTGCCGGGAGAATATTCCGCCTTCTGGACCGAGTACCCGAAATCTTAACTCCGCCGGAGATGGAGGGCAAGGATTTGGACTGGAAGGCTGACGGCTTGATACAGTTTTCGAAAGTTGAATTCCACTACCCGACGCGAACGGAGCAACAGATCCTTCGCGGTCTGAATTTAATCGTAAAGCCGGGGCAGATGGTTGCGCTGGTGGGTCAAAGTGGATGCGGTAAATCAACTTGCATTCAATTACTTCAACGTTTGTACGACCCGCTTACTGGAAGCGTTACAATGGATCGCCGGGATATCACATCCGTATCTCTGTCCGCTCTGCGTGCGCAGTTCGGTGTTGTAGGTCAAGAACCAGTCCTCTTTGATCGGACTATCGCTGAGAATATTATGTATGGTGATAACAATCGGGTTGTTACCATGGATGAAGTTATTGAAGCTGCCAAGAAATCTAATATTCACAGTTTTATCAGCTCTCTACCTTTGGTAAGGATTTTTGGATTTGGAAAAATTATTTTATGCTTCAAGAAGATATTATTGGATAGTCATTATTTCAAAAATCGTCAAAAATTGAATGTTTTTTCTTTACGTATTATTTTTAGGCTGAAAATTTTGGATGTTCTTAAAGTTTTAAGTTATTATTTTCATTCTCAAATTAAGCTTAAGATTTTGGAAATTTTTTAATTTTTTGATTTAGAAAGGAGTTAGAGAAAAATGGATCTAATTGTTAATGGAAATTAAAAATTATTAAGTCATTCGATTTATTACTAGATGTCAGACACATATTTTTCCATTAAAATGTAGTAAAAAAAATTCAATTTTTGACGATTTTGGACTAACATATTTTCTTAATAAATAAATACTTTACGCCACCCTAATAAACACCATTATTCTTAAAATAATCGATTAGACTCCAATTTTTCTAAATTGAGACATTTGATTGGTTATAAATCCTCTGATTATTATTCAATAATTTATCATCAAAGATCGCTCAATTATTGTAAATATAAAGAAGTAAATCCTCATGGATTTTTTCTTAAAAAATATTTGATATTTTTTTTTTAAATGAAAAAAAATTATATAATTGCTCAGCAAAAAATTTTCAATGTAATTCATTATAAATTTATTGATTCTTTTTATTCAATTTCCTAGTATTTTTGAAAATTGATCCAATTATGAACACGAATGTACCAACATTAGAGGTAATCAAATCATAATAATAACAATCATATTCCACTTTGTGCAAACAGGGTTACGATACAAGACTCGGTAGCAAAGGAACCCAGCTCTCTGGTGGTCAGAAACAACGTATTGCAATCGCACGTGCTTTGGTCCGAAATCCAAGAATCCTGTTGCTCGATGAAGCCACTTCCGCCCTCGACACGCAGAGTGAAAAGGTAAGTTCTTTTCACCCTTCACTTCCACGTAAATGTAAAAGCACGGAATCTATTGTGTTGACGACTGAAAATATCACATGACACTTTTTCCTTGAGAATTATTTCAGTAAAATAAAAATAGAGTTTTAAATTAAATGGGAGTATATGCCCTGATAGCCACCTTACCTATAACTTACTGTCAATCTACGTCCGCAATTGGAAGCAAGCTTGACCGAAAGACTTGGCAAAGCGAGCGATTACCTATTAGTTACCTATAACTTACTCTGCAAATAGACGTCAAAACTTGCTGTACAAGTATTTCCGTCAAATTGTAATAAAGTTGAAAGGAAATTTAACTACAAGTTTGATTGTTAACTTGTATTCAAGTTGCGGCCGTAGATTTCCGTCAATTTGCTTACAACTGTTGTTGAGTGAAGAATTACCGCCAACTTGATGGATAAATTAACCGTAACTGTTGAAAGTCAACACTTACTGAGAAAGCGCTGGCTATCAGGGTGGATCTTTGTGCTGTGTCAGGTCACCAATTAACGGGTTGCCAGAAACTCGGTCTTTCGTGAAATATAATTAAGGATATTCTAACCCTACATACTGTTATGCTAATCACTTTATACTTCCCATATACATTTGATATTAATCTTTAACAGGTTTTACTGTTTATAATTCTTTTATATATCCGGTGATAAATTTGTCGCTTAAATAAATTTATGATAAATGGAATTATTATGCTGTGTTGAAATAATTGAAGTATTAAAATTTTATTTCACTTAACAAGATGAGAAAAATTTATTTTTAACATCACTTATTGAAATTGATTTATATTTCGGAGATTGTTTCTTATTAAAACAAAATAACTTTAATTACTTTTACAAATTTTATTCTACTAGATCATTTTTATCGTCATAAAAAAACGTTACTTATTTATGAGCTTTATTCTGAAAATAAATCAAAGCAATCGATGAGTAAAAATTGGAATAAATTTATTTTCAGTAAAATAATGATCAAGTAAAGTGACTTCACTTCTTACATAATTAATTAAAACAGTTACTCTCTAGAATAAGTTAAGAATTTCCAATCCAGTTTGTCTTAATATTTAAGTTTTTAATTCATAATTTAATACTTCATTTATGTACATTACATTTAACCCAAATTTGTGAACTGTGTAAGTACACTGATAAAAAAATTAATCTTAGAAAAAAAATCTTGAACTTTAATAATTTTTAAAAGCTTTTATTTAACTTCACTTCCACAACTCGGAATCTTTTTATTAACTTTGTTAATTTTTTTTATCAGTGTATTAACTTCAAATAAAAAAAATGAGGGCAAATCCTTATCGATTATCTGTAGGTCAATTTAATATTAAAATTTTTGCTTCGCTATTTCTAAAACATTACTCTATATTTGACCTCCAGTATAATTGTAAATGAAATAATTTTTTAAATAATAATAATCATTGTTCTTGTTATTCCCTTGGTAAATAGGTCGTCCAAGCAGCCCTGGACAAAGCCATGGAGGGTAGAACTTGTATCACCATCGCGCATCGTCTGGCGACCATAAAGAACGCGGACGTGATTTGCGTCCTGGAGAAGGGAATGGTCGCTGAAATGGGAACTCACGATGACTTAATCGCTGCAGATGGTCTCTACGCTCACCTCCACGCCCTCCAAGAAGCTGCCATGGAGTAAACCTCCAAGTTCTCGCGCTCCAGTAAAATACCAGTTTGAATTTCGAAAATGACAGTCGCGAATTCATTTTTTTGTTTTTTTTGTTTTTTTTTTTTTTTTTTTTTCATAGAAACGAATAAACGAGATAAAACAAATGGGAAATAATGGAAAAAAATAACCAAGACAATTCAAAAATCCCCTTAAAGCTGTATTACAACGTAACATAACATTAGTTAGGTTATATCTCTAGCGAGCGCATTTAAAGGTTAGGTAGAAGTAAATGAACAACGCACGGCTTAGTCGTTAATTGATGGAGCGTCGGGAACTTAAGGGCTGGTTATAATATACGATTTTATTTTTTCGCTCGTTTATATTTATCATAGCTCATAGCACAAGAATCATGACTACTTCCGTTTTGTTATTATTATTTTTTTTTTTTAGATACAAACAATAATCCTCTGCTTTTTTGATGGTACTTTAATCCCTTCTTATCGTAAAGTAAGATTTATTTTTATAGATATTTTGGTTTTTAAATTAGGTTTAATTATTAATAATTATTATATGTCAAGAATGATCTTTTTGAATCTTTAGGTGTTATGTATTACTTTTTATTTAATTATTGTTTATTTTTAAAAATATTTTTCACTAATCGGTTGATTACTTGAACAATTTTAACCTTTTTTTACCCTGAAAAAAATTAATTTGAGCAATCATCTCTATTATAGATTTCATACAATTTCAGAATTTTTTTCACAGTCTTTTGAGCTTAATCGGCATTATTATAGAATCTTGATACAAGGAAGAAATAAAATTTTTTAACTTAAATTTTTTTTTTACCTAAAATATTTTCTCTCAAGAAATTACGTTCATAGAAAAAAAAAAAAAAACTTATATTCTTTTGTTGAAACGAAACAATCAGATAACTATTTCTGTCTCGTTATTGTCGAATCAATCGATATTTTTGACGGAAATAAAGAAGTGGCATGAGGTCATGCACTTCAAGAAAAAGGTTCAATATCTCTATAAAATAACCTCATAAGCATACATTCAACTTTATATATATTATATACATATAATGGAGAACAAAAAAAAATTACATACACGCAGGCCTTGAATTACGGATTACAACCTTCCGTTTTTTCTATATGCATATTACACATAACAGTACAGCAACGATTTTTCTTCTAACGAACTATCATGAAATATGTATGAGTTAACAAACAGAGCACGTGAATTTGTGTTTTATGCGTTCACTCGTTCTTGGGTTTTTATCGTAAATTATCATAAATATCTACATATTATTCAGCGATGAAACATTGGACGTGGAAAAATATAATGTAAAATATTGTTGTTATAAATTATGTTCATAAAATACCGCACCCCATAATATATATTTGATTTAAAGATTATAAATATTTAACAATAATCGCTATTGAAATTTCAATATCTTCTTCCCGATATTTACGATTTATGATAATTATCTATTTATATTAAATTAATGCTCGTTGACGTTTAAAAGTATATTTCAAAAAATACAAGGCCTTATGTGATCAAAAATAAAATATGTGGAGTTCAATTTTAGATACGGAAAAATAAAATAATAATATATTTAAATATTAATAAATATATAAGGAATGTGAAAAAATCGTGCCTCAGTCAATGAAATAAATTTTTTGAATATTGCTTAATTATTGTAATTATACATTTAAAATAATTATTAATATTATATATTATAAATTTTTTAGATAATGTTAATAAGATTTTTTTTAATCGACCGTGCCTAATTAAATGTCAGGACAAATTTTAAAATGCGGAGTACTTAAAAGTATTCAATCGTTTCTATCATGATTAAAATTTTTAACATGAACAAACGATTTTAAATCAAAAATATATTAATTAATTAATAATTATAATTGATAATAAATATATAGTTTTATAAGTAGAAATAAATGATTATATAAATGATAATAAATAAAATAAAAATAGGTGATTATTGTAATAAATTTTTTTCTGATGATGAGTCGTGTAATGACTATTTATCCATGCCACTTTGTGCTTTATGCAGTGACAATACATATTTATTAATGATGATTATTATTAATACTATTATTATTACTATTAATGTTGTAATAAACCAAAATGAAAATTAAAATTATTATGTGTTGAAATATATTATTATAAATTATACATATATTAAATGTAAGCACGGGTAACGGGAGCAGTGAAAGTAAACCTAATGTTACAATTTAAGATTCAGCAGCGCGAGCGCTTGTTACGATAATCGTGTTAAATTCAAAGCTCGTACTACGGCGACATGACGACGGACTTGGATTCAGTGCTGGATCCCCGGCAGGATAACGCGTGCACCGTATCTTAATACATCCTTTACTTACTGTTATCGTTAAGTATAATGCTGCGTGAGAACTTGACACAACTAACAAATACAAATTAAAAACAAACAGGACTTTAAAAAAAAAAAAAAGATTGTCTTTGATTTTAAATAAATTATTACATTGATAAGAAAAATAAACTTTATTCAGTAAGAACATTTTGAATCAAAAAACATTTATTATAATTTAATCATTTTTATTAGATGATAAATTCTTAGTCATTTAGTCTAAGATTAGTCAATTTATTTTCTTTCACGAACTTGCCCTGCATTGATTACTTGAAAAGTAGGTTTTTGTAACAGATTAAAATAGATTACTACAACGTAGTCTTTTTTCATACAGTTTTCAGCTTGCCGGGAGAAGTTTTAAGGATGGTCTGCAGGGTCCTGATTTCTAAGTTTTTTTTTTTCCAAACAAATTTCGAAATTTTATCAGAGAAAATCAAAATAACGACTCTGTTAAAATTTGAAACTTTAACATTTATATTCAGAGATTACGAATAAAAATTTTCCGTTTTCAATTTAAAAACATGAAAAATAGCTATTTTCGATACATATGCGCAAAGATAAGGATTTTGACGGCTCGAAGTGACGTCACAAGTTTGAGGCTATGGGGCGCATTCTTATCAAGACCGAGTTATTTATTTAGGGTATAGTATGAGGTCTTGATGAGAATGTATCCATAGCCTCAAACGTGTGCTTTCACTTTAAGTTTGTCAGGGTCCCTACCTTTGAGCATAAAGTATCGAACATAATTTTTTGTCATATCAATTGCGGAAGTTGGATTTGAGAGAACAGTCAAGAATGTTCAATTACTGTTTATTTTATTTAAAGGCACAAAAATTATGTCACACGAGATTAAATAGCGATGGATTAAACGTACGTACTCAGCGGACGTTTGTCGAATTAAAAGATAATTCGACTCATCTATAGCGTATTTTGGCGCAGTCGTGCAGAAATGAAGAGACACATAGAGAAAGAGAAGTTACATTTCCATACTAGTGCGTGGTAAATTTATTAAACTATAGATTGCCACAAATCGTATTCTTTGCGCCCTCTGTATGTTGCTCAAAAATCCAACTTTCGCGGTTAATATGACAAAAAAATATTTTTAAATACAATATAAAATTCCGAAGTTTGAAAAAAATACTTTTCCACGTTTTTTAAAATGATAATTTTTGATTCGCAACTCTTAAATATCAATACTTAAACATCTTTTTCAAAGCCGTTTTATGTAATGAATTTGACGGTTTAGTATAATATTAATCAGAAAGTTTCGGAAATTTATTGAATTATAAGTGACGTGAGAGTTGGATATGTTACAATAATTAACCAAATGTGTACAAAGGAAACATGTATAAAATTAAATTGTACGATCTAATATGATAGCTAGTAAAAGTTTTGAGTGGATAAATACTGACAACTGATGCTGGGAAATTTAATCTCAATTTAGTTTTATACAAAGTTGATTGAGCTTCACAACAGCTTCACAACAGCACAAGTATGAGTGACATGAAAGTGGTTACGATGTCATGTCTCGGTCTATTGTCTCGCAGACAGGAGCCCTCCCGGTGAGTGAAAAAACAAAGTTGACCAAAGTAAAGAGAATGGCATTTGCAAAAGTTACGAGAAGTGATTCTCGGGGAAAAGGCGATGTACATTATGACAAGCGAGAAGAAGGAGATGAACAATATAAAAAGAATATAAAAATAGCTTATAATAATAATGAAAAAGGAAAAAAATGATAATAATAAAGAAAATCAAAAGCAAAAGAAGAATAAGAAGATGATAAACTGAGTTTTTACTTTTTTACTAGCAACTTCCGTTCGCAAACTTATAACCCAGTGCTACGAATGGAACCAGTAAAAAAGTTTTATTTCACAAGCACAAGCTACTACCCTACCACCTCAGGTTGATCCGTACCAACTTTTAGAGTCTCCGAGGATGACTGGCTCCATAAATATTCTGCCGGCTCATTCTCTGGGGCCACGACATTTTTCTGTGCATTGCCGCCCCGAAGAGATGCTACTTTTTTTGCATTAGCAACAATCATAATCAACGGCTGAATAATTTACCTTTTTTTCATTACAAATTACGTCGGAGTTTAGTTTCTCAAAACTTGCTATGCTCGAGTTTGAATAATCAACTGAAGATAAGAATTAATTACGGGTATTACGTTGATTGAAAAATTAAATTAAAAAATTATTTTGAAGATTGTTGTAATATTTTCTGAGCCATTATACTGAAATTCACAGACAGTTGATAGTTTTTAAGAATTTTTTTTTACAAACATAATACTTTAGCTCGAAATTTATGTTTGGAATTTTTTTTTAACAATAACACACTTTTTTTTTCTTTAAGTTCATCAAAAATAGAATAATAAAAAAAAATTTCAACTTTTTGACGAAAAAAAAAAAATTGAAAAAATAATGAATGAAATTAAAAAATTCGTATTTTTGAATTTTAGTTTTAGTAATTGTTCTTACACGTAAAATATAAAAAAAATACTGTAAATTGCTAGAGATATGTTTACATACTTTATTAATGATTTTTGGTCAACACAAAATTTTTTTTTTAATTTGAAAAGCATTAAAATTAATGGTTATTATCGTAAATTACTCTCGAAATGGAA